ATTTAAACAATTTTTTCAACTCAAATTACAAACATTTTCAGTTGTACTACTTAGTTCTCAAATAAAAATTTGAGGCGAATCGGCGGTTTAGGGGTTCATAAATAATTACAACGGACATACAAACAAACAGATAGATAGATAAACAGAGATTACTACTTTATAGATTTAGATATTTATTTAGATGATGAATTGTTTTTAGATCGGCATGCGTTCCGAGTTTACTGGACTACTACAGCAGAAGATGACGAAGGTAAAACAGAACGCCACATAACTCACTCCACTCCAATCATTTCATGGGGTCGGAATTTATTAATAGCAAGAACTTGCTGAACTATGAACGGACAGTTGAACTACTTCTGGCGTTGAGACCGAAAGTGTAAAAATAAATCCTACATCATGTTCACCTAATAGTCATTAGATGAACTAAATCCGAGTTCTTTCGTCATACAATGTTGATATTTATCAAGGGTGGGCTATAATAGAATTTATTTACTGTACAAAAAAGAATTCTGGAATACACAATGAACTCGGTTTCGGTAGCTAAAAACTGGTTTAGCAGTCTGTTTACAAGCAATCTAATAAGGCTAATGTTGAAACAATATCTACAGTTTCGACATGACAGGTGGTGAGGGGAACAGGCCATGAGGGGGGAGGGGACTCTATTCTTTTCAACGCGGATCTGTTTACAAATATTTCACTTGTCCGTCTGTTTGTTTGTCCGTGTATCTTGAAATACTGGGTTCAATTTCATGTTTCGGTTCAAGTCCAGTTTCGGTTGCATTTGTTTACGAACACCCAATATAGAATTGTTCAGCCACCGAAAATGAGTTCAGTGTATATTACGGGATTTAGTGTATTCTGAGTTCATAATTTTCCTTTGGCCTTACCTTACCTTGATATTTATTAATATGAATGAAAACAAGCCTAACATTATTAACTATTGATGAATTAGCACCGGTTTCTGCTTAATAACCCTTCCGTCATAATATGCATAGTTATTTTTTTTCATAGAAAGACATGCAGCCTTGTCAGATTTATCCTGTTTTACGGAAATGAAATGTGTAATCCTTTATTCTGCCCTTCTACTGGTAATTCTTCTAGGAAGTGGGCATACGTTGGTAGCCCCGGACGAGCATACTAAACGTCAATGGATTATTACAATTGGGAAGACATTAGAGAAACTTGATAGAACAGATCTACCTAGTACACCAACACCTACACCGGTCACACCGGTCATAGTTAAGGTAATATAACTTTCATCGGTCATATCTAAGTTTACATAACATAGCACCGGTAACAACGGTCATTCTAAAGTACCATGACAAACCTAAGGTATCACAAAATGAATTGGATCACATCGGTCATATCTAAGGTAACAGAACATAAACCAGTCACACCGGTCGTACTGTGGTTTGCATATATATCAATACAAAAATAATAAAGAGGCTGAAATATATTTCAATATAGTGTCCGGTACTAAAATGCTCCAATTAAAGAGTGGTTGGTGTATATATCTTTCCTTATCTTAACTTATCACAACAAAGAATTATTCGGCACTGAAATTGTATTTTTCCACCATTTTAGTAACTCTGTATTGATATATATGCTGACCACTGTATCTAACCCGGTTAAGAATACTGTGACTCTGATTTGTTTTGGTATAATCTGATGATTTGATCCAGGGTGTTAAGAAGTCGACCCTGAGTACAACTGTCCTAAACCCTACTCTGTCAAGAACCCGAGGATCTACTGGGTCTACTCCTCGTCTTCTCTCTGCAGCTTCTCTTCCTAGTCCTGTAGTCAGGTATAAACATGGAGATTAAAGGGACTGTAAGCGTAATTTAAGTGACCCTCCATGCAAAGATGACAATGTTAGGTTCAAAACTGTTATCCCGAACAGCTTTGTTTGATCAAGTATGAAATTCATGAAATAAATATCAATGTTCTTGTTTCTTTTCATTTACGATTTCTCTTCTAAGTAACGTGTGCATTTCCTCCTTATAAGAAGGAATGTGGAAACTCACAGAAATAAATATTTTTCGAGTCACAAGAAAAACGATTGTATCTTCTACATTATTTGTAAATCGGACATGCCACTCAATAAAGAGAGATTCACTTAGAATTACGTTTACAGTCCCTTTAATTGAACTAGTTGTTGGAGGAGAAATATAATTTTCTAAACCTTTGGAAACTCTTATTTTTCCCCAAACTTCAAATTGCTTCACATTTTCGTTCCTTTGTCCGCGTTTGGTTGAGAAAACTTAGAATTTCTGGAATAATTAAGATAAAATTGTTGGGAATGGAATCAGGACAGTAATTTAAAAGAAGAATGAAAAAACATTGTTTGGCCTTTTAAAATGTTATTACAAGAATTTAGTTAAGCGAGATTAATGATTTACGCCTTAAAACTATACTATTAGTAAACATTATGAAATGATTTGACAGCTTGTACCCGCAAACTGTTCAAAAATCTCTTTAGTAAATACTGGAATGAAAAAATCTGTCTTGTGTCTTCTTTCAGATATAGTTCTCCTTATTAGTTCAGATAAATGTGTTAAAATGGTTTCTAAAAGGGACTGTAGACTAAATTTCAAGTGATCTTTTATTTAAAGAGTGAAGTGTCCTATTCACAACGGTACACTTCTTACATCTATCTGAGTAACAATGAAGATACCCTAGGGCATTGAGAACTTAACATTTCATTCCTTCTTTTTTTTTACAGATAACGTCATTTTATTTTAATAAAATGACGTTAACTGTCAAATCAAATCAAATGTATATATTTGTCCCAAGCCAAAAACATAGAAAATATCATATTTTAAAACATATTTATGAAACTTGAGACGGGGAGGCATTGATAGCCAGGGGCTGTTTAATACGCAGCCTCCCACTGGAGAGTCAGTTTTTGCAATGATGCTGACTTGAAGAAGAGGTGCTGCTGGATAAATTATTATATTTCATTTATCCTTGGATCAGTCAGTGGTTTTAACTGTACCGTTGTGAATCAGACAAGCCATCTTATAAATGAAGGGCCATCGATGTCTACAGTCACCTCAAGTTCATTAATAAAATTAAAATTGACATTTCATTTTAATATTTTAGAAAAGCTATTTTCCGGAAGAACAAGCTCAGTCCCAACTCCAGGTTTACTAAAACCTCTCCAGTTATAAAATCCAGCCTCAGCCAGTCAGCCTTGGTGAGTTCAAAGTATGATTGTTTTTTTTTTTTTGAAGATTTTTGGTTTTAAATAATTATTATACTAGGTCAAGATCCATTCTGGGGGAGTTAAAAAACTTCGGACGAAATCAAAGTTACGCCAGGACGAAAATAAGCATAGGGGAGCTATCGTCTTGGACGGAAACGTAATGCACGGGCGAAAAACAAAATCGGCGATGAGCCTCTCCGCCGTGGCGGTTGAAAAGAAGAAACCGGCGGAAAAGAGAATGCTTGCACTCATAGATGAGAACTCGAGGTAAAAAAACTAGGAACCAGTCGAACTTTTGGCCTAAATTAATATTAATTTTTAAAACATCCGAAAGTTCCGGAAAATCCATTATGGCAACCCTAAATCCATTATGGCAACCCTAAATCCATCATGGCAACCCTAAATCCATTATGGCAACCCTAAATCCATCATGGCAACCCTAAATCCATCATGGCTACCCTAAATCCATTTTTTACTGATGTTTTGCCTAATTTATATATTCCTCATTCATAAAAAATATTCAATATCTCAAGTCGTTTAATATATTTTGTTTGATTTGGAGTTTATCTCTGTAATGACGGTTGACCATTTTTTAATTAATCATGACTTTTTTATTTAAATCTAGGCAAAGAACTAAGAGTTGGAATAATCTACTGATGTCTCCCAACACACCAAGGTTTTAATTTAAAGTGAAAAAAAAATTGGCTTGGGGAGGGGGAACAGGTGTAGACTAGTGAAGTTAAAAGTATTTTATGCTTTTTTTGACAAACTTATTTCTGATCTCCTGCGTGGTTTTACAGTCTTACCGTAATAAAATTTAAAAAATCTCATCTCTTATTTAAGATTTTTATAGAATAGACGGCACTAGACAATAAACATATGCAATAATCACTTAGTAAAGTATTGATAAGATTCATGTTATTTCTTAATTTTGAAATGACTGCTCATACGTCTGTGATTCAGGTACCTAACAAGAAGAACTGCCAAGATCAGCAAGAGTATGAATGATCTTCTTCAGCTTTAAATCAAGATAAAAATTAAAGATCTTATTCAAGAAATCCACCAAATCAATTGTTCACTGTATACAGTATACAGTATACACAGAGCCATCAGCCAAATATTTCCTCATACTATTCACTAAACATGATCAGATCTCATTTTAAATTATTATTGTGATCCATGTTAATGCATAATTTTAAATGATGGCAAAAGATTTTTTTATTCTATTCTTTATTAATATTAGTGAATTTTCATCTCCTTGTTTAATTGATTGTTGCTGAAAAATAAGTTGCCGGATGTTCTTGCAACAAAGCAAATTGTTTTTATGAATCGAAATTGTTTGTTAGCATTTTATCAGTTGTACCGATTTTCAAACCTGTTCTTATTCATTGTACCGCTTCGTTGCTTAATAATCTCATGCAAGTATTATTTTTTAGGTTCTTCTTGTTTTATTTATAACTATTAATCTATCGTTTTTTCTCTTTTATCTGTACTTGATGCGTGCAACAACTGAGGGTGTTTTCGAGTACCAAAAAATATATATTTTACATTGCTTTTTAGAGAACTGATTACTCAGTTTAAACTAATATCAGATCTTTGTACATATTTTCTTAATAAGTTTGTGTACTGTGTACTCAAAGTGCATTTCTAAAACATGTAAAAAATATTTTTGAAAAGTTTATGATCACGATGTAAAAGATGTACTCCCACGCTCTTTTTAAAGCACCAGTGCAGCTGCTTCAATTTTTTGTTGATTTATTTATTCACGAAAATCAGGGGAAAATCAATTGATCTCAATTGTTTGGAGGATTTTTCACCTCGATGTTTTCAGATGAAACAATGACAGTTGAGACGTTTTTCGGTTGCGCCTTCCTGGCGTATGGGCTTCCGTTGGCCTTGTTTGCTCTTACTATTGCCAAGGTCGGTTACATGATTCATTCCGGATCAAGGGTTCATTGGGACGAAAACTTCATTTTTCAGTAAATACAAATAAATTATTATGAGAATATTAGGAAATGTTGTTCATGAGTTTTATTTTGATATTTAATATTTTCGATTTAGCGCTCACGCTGAACTGGAGGAAAATTATTACTTTTCACCTAAAATAACAGGGGCGGATACAGGATTTAAGTGAGGGGGGGGGGGCAAGATTTTTTAGGAACAAAAAATTAATAATAAGGAACAAAAAATCGTGCCGCAAAATTTTTTTTTTGACTTAAAAGAGTCAAAATGAATGACTAAAGACTAAAAAACTAGATTTTTAAATTTTAGGAACAAAATTAAAGGATTAGAACAGGAATTTAGGAACTATTAAAAGATTGTTCAGGAATTAGGAACAAAAATAAAGGATTAGGACAGGAATTTAGGGACAATTAAAAGATTGTTCAGGAATTAGGAACAAAGTTTAAAGGATTCGGACAGGGATTTAGGAACAATAAAATGATTGTTCAGGAATTAGGAACAAAAATAAAGGATTAAGACAAGGATTTAGTAACAATAAAAAGATTGTTCAGGAATTAGGAACAAAAATATAGGATCAGGACAGGGATTTAAGGTGGGTCGGACACAGTATTAGGAACAGGAACACTAATAGGAACATTAGCAATTTAAGAACAAAAAGAAATTATTAGTTATACTTAAATGCATGAAAATTAGGAACAATATTACAATTTTTATAAAAGAGTATTGATTAAGGAACATTACTAGATATGAACAATATTATAACTTAAGTCTAGTTTCTTACAAATTTCTAATTCTAAATTTATCGTTAACAATAACATTTATCGAATTGGGAACATTTTTTGCCTCGAAATCTCAGGGGGGGGGGGCTACGCCCCTCCCTGAATCTGTCAGGGGGGGCGAATGTCCAAACGCCCCCCCCCCCTGTATCCGCCCCTGTAAAATAAGGACTTACGAAAATTATGTTATTTTAAGGATCCAGTAAGGATTATTGTTTTGATCCTCTCCTCGTTCTTCTGGTTACTCTCGCTCCTCTGCTCCGCAATCCTCTGGAATGTCGTCGTTCCTCTCAAGGTAGAATTTATCCATCCTAGAGCCTGATTTTTGTCAGAGTTTACGGTTAGTACTTATTATGTACTTCAAGATGAGAGTTTGCCGCTCAGAGGTTGAAAATATGAATTTTCCATTTATATACTAATTACTTCTCTCTCATTCATAACTTTTCATAACCGAAGTCATGTATTCTTAAATGTAAAAAGCTAGAAAAAAATGACAGTTGTTTAAAACCTAGAGTGATAAGATGGGTTGGAGAGAGTATAATCATGAAATCATTGAAAAAGCTAGAAGAGTAGTGATGCAATTTAACAAGTTGCGTAATCATGTTATTAACTATAGGAGGAGATTGCATTTGGTTTGTGTTTCTCAGTGTTTTTCCAGGTATAACTTTTATACTTACCAAGATTGATTTGGGAACGGATATGCTCCTAGGAAATGTGAAGTATCTATGTTACTAGTAACTATTTCGTCTGTATATTTAAGTATCTATGTTACTATGAACTATTTCGTCTGTATATAAAGTATATATGTTACTAGGAACTATTCCGTCTGTATATAAAGTTTCGATGTGTCTAGAAACTGTTCCGTCTGTCTGTATTTAAAGTATCTATGTTACTAGGAACTATTTCGTCTGTATATAAAGTATATATGTTACTAGGAACTATTCCGTCTGTATATACAGTATCTATGTTACTAGGAACTATTCCGTCTGTATATAAAGTATATATGTTACTAGGAACTATTCCGTCTGTATATGAAGTATATATGTTACTAGGAACTATTCCGTCTGTATATAAAGTATCTATGTCACTAGGATCTATTCTGTCTGTATATAAAGTATTTATGTTACTAGGAACTATTTCGTCTGTTTATCTATCTACTCCTGAAGAAAGCTGATCTCTACCTAAGGTATTTATTACAAAAAATATAACAGACTAATTATATTTGTTACATAAATGTGTATTGTGTACATAGGGTTTAATAATAAACTATTACGTTGTTAGAAACCATCTTATGACTTTTAATGGGGTAATGCAGATATGATACAGAGTTACCCACAAAGGATGAGACTATTAAGACTACCTGACAGTCTTAAAATAGGACTCTTGAGTAGAAATTAAGCTTTCTGTCGTGAATTTTATCTTTTAATGGTTTATTATAAAATTGGAAAAGAGAGAAACAAGTTTGCAGTTGCAGGGAATCATGAATATAAGAAAACAGACAATATTAAGTCTGTACAGTCGTCTCTGAAGTCTCATTCTTTGTATTCAGATTAGATACACATAGTTTTACTTTCATTTTAAGCAACTATTTTAAAAGCATTAAATGAGATAATTCATTTTTCATTATGGCTATTAAAGAGCTAAATGTTTGTAATTAAATTTTAAAAAGTAATGTCTCAAAGTGGCTGTTTGTGTAATATTAATTTGGTAAAGTATTGAAAATGGTGCTTCCCTAACCCTAAACAGACATGGGGGGGGGGAGCGTTTGACGCCCACCCCCTTAAAATTTTTGTAATGCATAGGGTAGGGTACAGGGCGGTAAAGTCTGGTCCGTGTAAGAAAAAAAATCTAAAATAGCCTAACACTTTTTTTGTGACTTAAACTACAGATCTAAAAGCTATATTTTTGAAAAGCCATGGAAAAATGGATGTAGATTGTAGAAACATAAGCATTATATTTGTTAAAACAAAAAAGTATTTTTTTTTTACATTTTTTCCCAACCCTACTTAGCACTTAAACTATTAAAGTTATCGGTCTAATTTTTTTTCCAAAGGAACATGCATTTCAACCCTTTACATATTCTTTAAGGCCTTTTTCTAGGGGTGGGGAGGCGTGGGATGCACCCCCAGGCTATACATAGATTCAGACCCACCAGCTGTATAGGGTTAACTATTTTTTATTAAAATTGTAATTTTGGTCGGGAAGCACCATGATTTCCAAATGAATATCTCTTGAGAAATCTCATATTTCATTTTACAGATTATTTAATTTAGTTCTCTTGATTTTGTCAAATATATATCTACCAAGTAAATTTAATATCAAGTGTAAAATATATGATTTAGCTGGTTATCTAACCTTTCAAGTGAATTCTCTCAAATACTAGTTGTCGTCAAATATTTAGTTTTAAGAACAGACTTAAAGAGATTATCGGCGTAATTTTGAGTAAACACTAACCACTCATTTAAAAATGTACATACCTTATTCACAACTGACTAACATTTTATGGTTACGGTTTACTGTGTTTCGATATTTTGAAAATTTAATTTAATGTGAAAGGCCAAATTAATTTCTTTTTAACTGTGTATAAAGACTAGCTAGAGAGCCGTACTGCTTTTTAAGGAACTGAACACTTGTCTCATACTCTAATTTCTACTCCTTTTATCTTTGATGTTTGATTTTGTAGAACTTTGATCGTTATGGTCCAAAACCACTGTTGTAAAATAAAACATTAAAAATTACGGATTGCTAATGGAGCCTAAAGCTTTCCCTAACACTCATGATTTGATTTGATTTGATTTGATTTGATTTGATTTGCTAATGACCATTAGTAATATTTGTAATTAAATAATTATGATCAATTGTTTAGACGTCTAACTGAATCTGAGCCAACTCAAATATTCCTTAATCCACATCTTCTGGCGTACACAGGTAAATTGAGATATAATTCCCCTTCCCTTTCTATCTGGACTCCCCCCCCCCTTTCCACTCACTAGCTTATACTTAAATGGGGAGAATTAAAAAATGTATTTTGTTTTTCTTTTGGAAACAACAAGTATAATTTTCTTTTTCCGTAAACTTACCCTTAGGGGGGCAAATTCTTCTTAGAACATCGTCCACCTTCTACTTATTACAGTTGGTCTCGGGTTTGGTCTCATGTCTGGTGCATTTTCTCTGATGAACGTTCTGGCCGACGCGCTGGGACCAGGAACTGTAGGTTTGGCGGGTCAACCTCAGGTTTGAATAATCATCATAATAATTATGAATATGAATACTTATGGAATGATGTCACGAACGTCTAAATATAAATATTAAAAGTAGAATTTGGTCTGTTTTTGAATTTCTAGTTGCTACATTATCTTATCAATTACATTTCGAACAGCAAGATGTATCGGGTGTTGTTCTTTTTTTCATTGATGAGCTATTATCTTGGTGGGAGTGAATTGTCCCCACCCCAAAGGTTTCACGAATAATGAGTTTGTCCTTTCAAGTAACTGCGTAGTGCGTATTGCCTAGTGTATAGCAGAGGAAGAAGTATGATTCTAATTTCCCCGCCAGGTGTCTCTGTACGTCCTTTTCTATTTAGTGAGAAAAAAATCTGGATAGTTTATCATTTGACCACAACCCAAAACTAGTAATTTGTGATAGCTAGATACACAACTACAAAGATGTCAAGGATCGAAAATATATTCAGCGGTTAAATTGTTTAGTATTTCAGTATACTACAATTTGATAGAACACTGCAAAATAGATACAATTATGGACGCTTACAATTATGAAAGTTATTGTGATAGATTGTATTAATATTAATTAAATTTTCAGTATTAAGCAGAAANCTCCTTCCAACCTGTCACCCTCTCCAAAGAGCGCTCAAGCTTTTGCTAGTTTCAGTAATCCAAATTAGTAAGAAAAATTATTTTCTTTTTTTATTCATTATTTTTTTGGGGGCTTCTTTTAAAATATAAATACTTTAGTGAAATGGTTGATATGTTAGTAAACTTTAATATAACAAGTATGCTATATGAATAGATGCCTCATTTTTTGTAATCATGGATTTAAAATAATAAAGTAATACAAATTAACACACACAAGAGGAAGTATAGGATTTTACGTTTCAATTTCCCCCGCCAGGGCTCTCTTCACATCTATCTCATATTGTAAATAGAGTTAGATAATTGACTTGTTTACCGCTAACTTTCCAAGGCTAATTCAGTGCCCCCAAACACACATTTTTCAGTCGAAACAAATTGTGAAACATCTAATGTCTAAATAATCACCTTTAAAAAATGCGTTGCTCCCCCCCCCCCCATCTACTAGAAAATACTCCGTTAGGTCTATTCGGTATGTATTGTAGATAGCACAAGTTAAGTTGGTTCAAGTTTTAGCCGCTAGGGGGTTCTCATGGTTGTAATGATTTTATTATTAAGACGGAATCATGCATTTCACGGTTATTTTCCAAGTTATACGTGCAATAATTCTTTTTCGCTATCTAACAAGAAAGAAAATCTTTGATATGGAAATAAAATAAAAAGTAATATGAATGGAATAGATTTCTATCAATATAATCATTGACTGAGTTTTCGTTTGGGTTACTACAGTACACATTATCGTATATCAATACAAATTTATTTACGCTTGCAGGAATTGGATGTAAGCAGTATATCTATATTATCGATTTAAGGATAACGTTAATATAAGTAATCAGTTAAATTTTCATACTTTTTTCAAGGTTCAGATTTTTGTCATATTAATTGCAAAATTGTGTAGAAAATAATAAAAATGATAGAAATGAAAAGAATTATAAAAATATTAGGAATTATGAAAATAATGATAACTATGACCGTCCTTACAATCATAACAATAATTTAAACCATAATAATTATGATAACCGTGATAATCATGATGATGTGAATGATAATAATGATTAAGATAATGAAAATCATGAAAAAGTTGATGAAAATATTGATAAAGATAATGAAAATCTTGATGAAGATAATGAAAATCTTGATAAAGATAATGGAAACCTTGATAAAGATAATGAAAATCTTGAAAAAGATAATGAAAATCAAGATGATGAAAATAATGATTTAGGACTTCTTCCTTGTATCCTCCTGTATGACCTTGTGCATGATCCTGCTCCACACCTGCTGGGGGGTCATCTTCTTCTCTTCCATGGACAACGGTAAGAACCTTGTAGAATATGGTTCAGCCCTCTTTCAAGAAACCGGAGGCCGAATTTAAAGAATTTGAGCCGTGGCTAAAATATGAGTGATTCCACTTAAAATTGTATTCAATTTTTCAAGATTTAAGCCGGCGCTCAATATTTTTGAGGGATTTGAGACGCGGCATAAATTTATTAAATTCGGACACGGGACCAGATCTAAGGAATAGCGAGACATGGTAGAACCGTGTAGACGTGGTTCAACCACTTTCTTCAGCTTGAATTGGCACAAAGGAAAAGTGGTTGAAGTACACCTCTGCAGTTCAACTACGTCTCGCTATATATTAAATCCGGTCCTGGACCCTTTTTACCTTCGATTAAGACATCATCAATTTTTCTATTAAAACTTGAATAACTCGTGGCCAGCTCTTTTGAATGTTTAAAGAGGTTCTTCAAAAAATGTATGCTTAGGTCATATTTAAAGAAAATGAAAATTAAATTTCTTTTCCAGCGCGCTCTTGGCTACAAATTTGATTAAATAATAAGAATTTAATCTCAGTTTGTTTATGTTCAATCAATTGATAAATATTTCAAGTATAAAATTATCACATTTTGTATGTGTTTAATGAATAGAATAATAAAACTAGTACATAATTATCTGATTTTGTTTGTGTTTGATTAATTGAATATTATATCTAGGACACTATTATCTGAGTTTGTATGTGTTTGATTAATTGATTATTATATCTAGGACACTATTATCTGAGTTTGTATGTGTTTGATTAATTGATTATTATATCTAGGACACTATCATCTGAGTTTGTATGTGTTTGATTAATTGATTATTATATCTAGGACACAATTATCTGAGTTTGTATGTGTTTGATTAATTGATTATTATATCTTGGACACTATTATCTGAGTTTGTATGTGTTTGATTAATTGGACACTATTATCTGAGTTTGTATGTGTTTGATTAATTGATTATTTTATCTAGGACACTTATTATCTTAGTTTGTATATTTTCGATTAATAGATTATTATATCTAGGACACTATTATCTGAGTTTGTATATTATTGGTTGATAGATTATTATATCTAGGACAATATTATTTGAGTTTGTTTGATTGATAGATTATTATATCTAGGACAATATTATCTGAGTTTGTATGTGTTTATATCCCACATGCTTGTCTCCTGCTTAACTCTACTGAACAAAAGGTGAACTACTTGTTTTAATCTTTTGTAAACTTACAAGATTGGATTTTAACTTAAGTAAAGACACTGATTACTCTGATTAATTTGTTATCCCTTTAATTTTTAAACTGGTGGCGTAGACCTTAAATATTTTAAACTTTAGATCTAATAGTTTGAGTATATCAAACGTTTATACCATGTCAGGTTCTACGATACAGAAATTTTTTAATCCCTTTATCTTTACATTAAAAAATGTGTCGCTACTTGATCTAACAGAATTCAAAGTTTGACATATGAAAGGTTAATATAAATTAAGTTGCAAAGGATTAGAAAATTAGATTGTGGGGAAAGTAATAGTTCCTATTATTACCTTGTTTTGCTACTTGGTGCTTGTTTTCACAGAATTATTTATTTTTCATGAAAACTGAAAACTTCCGAACAGAATGAAGACAAACAAATGTATAGGGGGGGGTGGGGGCCGTGACAGCATTTATCATGGAATTTAATACGAAACCAAATGTGTTCTGAGTTTGAAATAAATTGAAAATTGAATATTTATATATTTTGTTTTCTATAATAATAATAATTGTAGGTACCTGTATGTAGCCTCCGTCCTGCCAGCATATATTGTGCTTGCTCTGACCGGCGTGCTAGCTGCCAGGCAGGCCGGCGTAACTATCGCTTCCATCAAGAAAGCTATCAAAGGAAAACATTTTTGCTTCATTATTTCAAATTTTCGGGGGGAGTGGGAATTGCAAAACTCTTCAAGAATACTTATTTTACCCTGGGATCGTATTCTTAAAAAGAAGCCGACATTTTTTATTTGGATTTCTTAAAATGTTTTTGAACAGGTGGCTCTGATGTCCTGGCAGTTCCTGTTCAAGATCCTGTTCAATAGTTAATAGTCTGAACAATCCAATGTACGTTGAACAGGAAAATTATCCTGAGCTTGCTAAACAAATTAATGGTTTGAGAAGAAACGAGTTCAAGAACTTTATTTAGTAACGTTTAAGGGACTTTAATTGTAACTTCAATTGACCCTTCATTGAAAGAGTGGTATGTCCGATTCACAAAGAAATCCATAAAAGCTTTGTCTGATCAATTATGAAGAATATTTCCATGTTTTTGTGTTTCTAAACTAATATTTATTTCTGGGTTGCTACAGAAACAATAGAAAAATTATTGGATTAAAGCACATTTCAAATTTTTAAAATAACGTTATCATCTACATTATTAATCAGATTACTGTTAATAGACTACCGTTGTGAATGGGACATGCCTTTATTAAATGGAGGAACACTTTAAATTACAGCGATAGTCGCTTTAAGTTATAAAGAGTTAAAAGGTTTCAGCTGAAACCAAACGTGTATCTATTAATTTGTTATCTACATTTAACACAAAATTAACAACTAAAAAATTTATATTTGTCTGTGATTTGTAATGTATTAATTGTTCTTGATGTACAGCAGTGTACAGCTGTACAAGGCGTCCTGTACACTGTTCAACATGCTGTGTACAGTATGATTGTCTTGAACTAACCTTTTGATTTTAAGAAAATTAAATTTTTTACCGAACATTTTGTTTACAATTTTGGATGGGTTTAACATAATAACGAATTGCATTTAATAATATTTTTGTTTGAGTTTTTTTTCATCTGATATTAAATTCTCTTTTAAAGGCTGATTACTAGTTACCCATAGCGTCATCGTCAAATATTTAAAGAAAGAGATATTATTTTTATTTTGCTGATTTTTACAAGAAAAGTAATTGAAAACAATTAAACTTGTAAGTATTTGTTGAATGCAGAAGCTGTACTTCTAGTCAATACTGAATGTAAACAAGTATTTACGGATTAAAATTTCAATTCGAGCAAAATATGCCATTATTTAAACTAATAAGTTATGTTAATTTAATTTTATGTTCCACATTTTTTGTTTTACTAAAGCTGTAACCAAAACGTGAAAATAAACTTTTTAACCTTGTTTTATTTATTATTGATATTAAGAAATATTTCCAATATTTCAGAAGAATGTTTTCCCGGTATCCGGGTTGGGCTGGCTCCCTGCTATACCTAGGACCTGGAGCAGGGTTTCAGGTTCCAAGGTTCTCATCTCGATTCCCTGGTTCCAACCTTTACTCAACCAATCCTCTTCAGGTTCAGACTTGCACTGTGCACTGTACACTTTATACTTCAGTACATTATGCACTGTACAGGGGGTCTCAATAAACATGATATATTAGTAACCAGATAAATAAATATGTATTTCGGCTAAAATTACAAAATATATTTTGAATTTTGTTATTTATAAAAAAATGGTGAAAAACCAGGTAATCAGGATAACCATTATAGAGGCCGAATTTAAAGAAGTTGGTTCCACTTAAAATTGTATTTAGTTTTTCAAGATTTAAGCCGACGCTCAATTGAAACCGGTTTTTGGGTGATTTGAGACGCGTCTTAAATTCATTGAATTCGGACACTGTTTGTTTTAATCGGCTGACAGTCATGAAGTTTATTCTTAGAAATTAATAAGTAACTAATACATAACACACAACACTAAGTAATTTAGAATAAAAAAGAGTTGAATTTTAATGAAAGGTATAGTATGGTAAATAGAAGAGGGAACAAGTATTATTGATTTTCAAAAGCTTTAAAATATGACAAATTTGTCTAAAGAAATTTTTTTGGGGGGAGGCGACGAGCTGACCATTATTTAGAAAATGTCTGATTCAGGTCAGAATCCGATTTATGAATTGGGAAGAAACAACCTCCGGAGAAACATCATTATTCGTAACAGTACTGGATATAAATCATTATTCGTAACAGTACCGGATATAAATCATTATTCGTAACAGTACTGGATATAAATCATTATCCGTAACAGTACTGGATATAAATCATTATTCGTAACAGTACCGGATATAAATCATTATTCGTAACAGTACTGGATATAAATCATTATTCGTAACAGTACCGGATATAAATCATTATGCGTAACAGTACTGGATATAAATCATTATTCGTAAGAGTACCGGATATAAATCATTATTCGTAACAGTACCGGATATAAATCATTATCCGTAACAGTACTGGATATAAATCATTATTCGTAACAGTACTGGATATAAATCATTATTCGTAACAGTACTGGATATAAATCATTATTCGTAACAGTACCGGATATAAATCATTATTCGTAACAGTACTGGATATAAATCATTATTCGTAACAGTACCGGATATAAATCATTATTCGTAACAGTACCGGATATAAATCAAATAAGATCAGTGTGGATCAAGTAAATAATTAACATTATCTATGGATAATCCTCTTTGTTAAATGTGCTAGCTCTTTTAAATGTCCTGTCAATGATATTGAAATATTTGTTTGAAATGTCTTCAACGAAATGTCCCAAAAGTACCAACGCAAATTGACTTCTTCACTTACTTTACAATCTTACTTATGCACCCCGTTTATTTTCCAGTTTCTTTGAATAGTCCCTTCTCATCCTTATTCACTTTAGAATTATCATTTTCTCACTCTTTACCTCCCAATATAATAAAAGAGAATTGACACTAAAGATATATTGTACTGTCTTGTAAAATTACTGTTTATGGAACAAATTGCTGGTTAAGATAGAATATTAAAGGTATAGGATAAGAAATGATGTGAAGAGATTCAATTTTGATAGATTGAAAAGTTAATCTGAGAAAATCCATCACAACAATCACACTGAGCTGATAAAAGTTCTATCATGTGTCAGGATGTATCCTGAACTATATCCTGTATCAGGATGTTTCCTGAACTATATCATGTATCAGGATGTATTCTGAAATATATCTTGTATCAGGATGTATCCTGAACTATATCTTGTATCAGGATGTACCCTGAACTATATCTTGTATCAGGATGTATCCTGAACTATATCTTGTATCAGGATGTATTCTGAATTATATCTTGTATCAGGATGTACCCTGAACTATATCTTGTACCAGGATGTATCCTGAACTATATCTTGTATCAGGATGTATCCTGAACTATATATTGTATCAGGATGTATCCTGAACTATATCTTGTACCAGGATGTATCCTGAACTATATCTTGTATCAGGATGTATCCTGAACTATATCTTGTATCAGGATGTATCCTGAACTATATCTTGTATCAGGATGTATTCTGAACTATATCTTGTATCAGGATGTATTCTAAACTATATCTTGTATCAGGATGTATTCTGAAATATATCTTGTATCAGGATGTATTCTGAACTATATCTTGTATCAGGATGTATTCTGAACTATATCTTGTATCAGGATGTATTCTGAACTATATCTTGTATCAGGAACCAGAGTTTGAATTAAGCTCCGGAAGAACTGTTCTGGATAAGAAGTATGGTATCATTAGAATATCCAGATCTGGGAAAAGGAAGGAAGCAAGTTGGATATTTACTAAAATAATCTTATTTATTGACAGATGAAAAATCGCATTTTAATTAAATTGGCCATCGGAGATTTAATGTATGATCATTATCAATTATCATTATTATATTTGCTGTTGTATTTAATTTATCGATATTTTTATTTTATTGGTTTAAATTTGTTTTTATTAACTTAAAAGTTAAAACAATATACAACATGTGCCTGGTATGAAGATGGGAGAGTATTGTTGGTCTAGAGATTCATACCCAGATGCAATCCAACTCTAAACTCTTCTCCTCAGCTCCTAATCTATTCAATCAGCCGGTCAATTCACAGGTATTCAATCAGCCGGTAAACTTACGGCTATTCAATCAACCGGTCAACTCATAGGTTTTCAATCAACCGGTAAACTTACGGCTATTCAATCAACCGGTCAACTCACAGGTTTTCAATCAACCGGTCAACTCACAGGTATTCAATCAACCGGTCAACTTGCAGGTATACAATCAACCTGTTAACACGCAGGTATTTAATCAAGGAGTCAACTCGCAGGTATGCAATCATCCAGTCAACTCGGTCACTGGTATTTAATCAGCAGGTCAACTTCCTGGTATCTAATCAAGGGGTCAACTTCCTTTTATCGTATCAACGGGTCAACTTCCTTGTACCTTATCAACGGATCAACTCCCTGGTATATAATTGATTTCAACTATTAAGGTTTCATATTTTGATGCCGCTGTACCTGGTACTCTTCCGGTTTTAAACACAAGGTATGTACTGTTATCACTGCCCACTGTACGGTGTACAGTAGTTTCGTAGATTTTAGAGTACATTAACATTCTTTTTGATTTCCTGCACAATTATCCATAAATTAGTTTTTAGACTTGTTTTGTTTTGCGTTTTTATATTTTTACTGACTGAGATACATTTTATTTATGATATAAAATACAAAGTGGTATTAAAGGGACTGTAAGCGTAACTTCATGCAAATATGGCAATGCTAGGTTCACAACGGTACCCTTAAAAGATGTGTCTGATGAAGTCTGCACTCCCTTTAGTACTGAGACGTGAAATGTATTGTACATTATATAAAACAAACGACACCTTTGAAAATCAAAATTGAAAGTGCAGTTTAAGCATTTCATAAATGGCTAAACCATCATCATAAACATTCCATCTTATATTTAATACCTCTAAATTATTTGTATTGCGTTTTATATAGATTTAAACGAGTTTTTTTTTTTTAATGAAACTCGGGATAATCATAACATGCAGTTAAGACAATAAAACATATATAACGACGACAACGACAACGACAACGACAACGACAACGACAACGACAACGACAACGACAACGATAACGACAACGACAACGACAACGACAACGACNGACAACGACAAAGACAACTACAACGACAACGACAACGACTACGACTACGACTACGACTACGACTACGACAACGACAGCCACGACGACAGCGACAGCTACTTTTAAAGTAATAGTGTTAATAATAATAATAATAATAATAATAATAATAATAAACGTTTGTAGTTGTGTATCTGCTGGAATCCGAACCTCTCTAGCTCTGGGAGCAAACATTAATCTAATCTCATATTTCGATAGAAAGGAACAAATTCAAACTTTTATATATTTTTCTTCATTTTAACGTTGTTTGCATTGTTTTAAATTATGGCGGGTAAAATAAAATACACTTTTAGCAATAAAATCCCTCGCTACGTGTCTACATGAAAACTTTGAATTTTGTAGCATTATTTCTATGCTGACCTACCAGCTGGTTATCAGATTACTCAGTATAGAAAACCTATATCACAGGTACTAATATTTTTATCATTTTTTTGTAGATGTTGTTGTTGTATGCTGTAGTTGTTGTATTTGAAATTGTTGTTGTTGTTGATGATGATGCTGGAGTGTTTCTAGTTATATATATTAAAGTTATTAATTTCGTATTTTTTACAGGGTGGTGCCTTAAGTTTCAGTGTTAGAAATGAAGAAATAAAAAAGACCTACACAAAATCCTCAAATTTAGTTCAAATCCAAATAGAACAGGTCAGTCCGCTGTACAGTACAGTACAGTACGGTACAATACAATACAGTACAGTATAGTATAGTACAGTACAGTACAGTACAGTACAGTACAGTACAGTACAGCACAGTACAGTAAATAGTGTATTTAAATATTATAAGGGAAACTTAGTTTATTAATTTGGCAAGCAGAGGTGTTGAAGTTTAAATCATATGCAGGGTAAACTCATCCATCCTAAACAATTACAGTGTGCCCTTAAACATTATAGTAGGTTGTTTTCCTGTATAAAATGATGCTCTTAGCTTTATAGTTACTTTCTGAAATTTGATGCATAAATCCTTTCCCCCCCCTTTTTTGAAAATCTTTTCTCCAATTTAGGACATTTTTCACGTTTAATACGTTACGTTTAATACGTTACGTTTTATACGTTACTTTTTACGTTTTATTCAAGCTTTCAGCCATGTTTCAGCCAATGAATACCTTTTGTAACTTATTCAATATTTTTTTTAAGAGAAAGTAGTTTAACTTGCAAGTTTAAGTCCCATTTACCTTTTTTCCAAAGCTTCGTTAATCTTGGAGGAGGGTTAATTATCTCGTAAACCTAATTATACTGCAGAATAAATCTTGGAGGAGGAGGAGGGGGGGGGGGGAATTATCCCGTAAACCTTATTACACTGCAGAATAAATCGACTTATTTTAGGACAGTGGTAAAAGTTTGCACGATGAGAAGGCTGGAAGTAGTTTAATTGATTTGAATAGGTAATTATTGGCTATTTAAAGGGACTGTTAACGTAATTTCAAGTTACCCTCTATTTATCTAGTGACATGTCTAATTCACAACGATTCCCTCAAAAGCTTTGTCTGTTTGAGTAAGAATTAGATTACCATGTTTTGTTTTTGAAAACAGTTCATTATGATTTGAGATTTTGTGGTTTGCGCATTTCTTGCTTCAGAAGAAATGAAATAATTGACAAAATTTACACTTTTCAAGGTAGAAAACTCTACTTAGAAACCCAAAGCAAAACTTAAAACATTCCTGTGCTTCTGCCGAGTTTCCAATAAAAAGTTGAGGCAAATCCGTCAAGGGGTTCATGAGTTATGATCAAAAAAACAAACAAACAAACAAAGATTAATACTTTATATAAATAGGAGACATATTCTAGATGTGGATTAGGACTCCTAGACATATATATATTNTGGGGAACGATGACGAGGGGTGGGGGAAAGAAGGATGGGGGGGAATTACAGAGAACATAACTGTTCGGAATCTATGTTTAGCTCAATCATCTACAGATAGACTTCTATATTTTTTATATAATTTTATTGACGGCGTTTTTTCCCAAAATATATTTTTTTTCATTAGGACAGGCAACAGGATGGGGGCGGGGTTGTTGATTTTACCATATTTGATACTGCTGTATGAATCAAATATGATAAATATTATCTATATAGAGGACGGATATGTGATACTGCTGTATGAATGAAATATGATACATATTATCTGTATAGAGGACGGATGGAGAGAGGAGAGATGAGAGTCGATGCAAATATCTCTGTACGAGAACTTGGAGATAATCGTCTTGGAACTAGAACTGAAATTAAAAACCTCAATTCTCTCAGGTAACCCCCA